GGGGCCAACGGCAGGTAACAAATCCAGCCCACCGAAACACGCACACGCGGCGGCCACCGCCGGGAAGGGCGGCGGACCTGGGCGGCGACAGAAAAGCCGCAGAGGAGACACCCCAGGCGGCAGCGAGGGGCCCGCGGGGAGGGGCACGGAAAAGGAGCGGCATAGCGGCGCATGGCGAAGGGGGAGCACAGCGGAAGCGGCAGCCGCGGGGCCAGGCACGCCGGGCGGCGGGAAGAAGCAAACCTGCAAGCGGAAGCTGGAGGCAGGGCGAGAGGGGGGCAGCAGGCCAGGTAGGCCACCACCAACCCCGTGAACACCGGACTCGGAACAGTTCGCAATAGAGCACCAACCATGGTGGAGCTACCAGCGGTGGCTGCTCGAGCCTGACAAGCGCTGGCGAATGGGATCGTTGCTGGGCCAGGACGCGTCGGCGGAGCGCTTGCCTTTCCCCTGCGGTGGGGGACCTTTCCCTTTGCCTTTGGCAAGCTCACCGCTTTGCCTCCTCTCCTCCACTTCCCGATGCCACTCGGCGCGCAGTCGACTCGGATGCCGCCGTACCTGCACGGGGTGCGGACATCGTAACTGGCCTGGCTGAGCTCACACACAAAGCCCTGACAAAATTCGGCATGGTGCCGCTCGGGGCCCTTGGAGGAGCGCGGCCCTGTCTCCTGATCGCAGACAGCATTCCAGCCGATCGCCAGCATGGGGCGTCGTTCCTTCTTGAGGCGGTTGACCACACCATACCAGTCCCCCCTTGCGTTGGTACTATATTTTTTTTCACGCGGGGTGCCACGCCACTCGTATACGCCGCGGCCCGTAGCGGAGTCGATCCGCGGCATCGCACTGGGCCGGCGGCCGCCGGGCGGGGAGCTGCAGGCGAACAGGTGGCTCCTTCCCCCAAGGCGCAGTTCGCTCCGCAGCGTCGCATCCGCGCCACCTTCGAAATTCGCCCGGGCTGCATGGCTCATCGGTCCGGGGGATCTCGGGCACAGGCTCTGCCAAGAGGAGGCGGCTCCTGAGGGCTCCAGTCGCAGGCCGATGCGTTGGAGCGTCCGCGGGACGCCGGTGGGGGGCTGGAACTGCCATTGCTACGGTTGCGCCCAGCCTCTGGGGGGTCTTTCGTCGGTCCGGCCGGACCGGCGCCCGCGCCCCCCCCCCTGACGGCCGCCGCCGACCTGGGCCTCGGCAAAGGGGGGCTGGGCCACAGTCGAAGTTGGACCCGCGCCTAGGGGGCGCCGGGGGCGGCGGCAGCCCTGGCTGCGCGGGGCACGGGGCGAGGTCACTGGGCCGGCTGCCCCCGAACTCTTCTTTGGATTCTAAGCGCCGGGGGCGGCCAGATGCCGCCCGCGGGGGGCGTCATGGACAGCACCTGAAAAGGTCAGCTTCCTCCTTGCCGCCGTTGCTGGGCGCCCGCGCACCAGCGGGCCCGAAGCGAAGTGGCAGGTCGCCGAGCAGGATCTCCTGGCTGCACCATGCAGGGTCTCGCCCCCTCACCGACGCCCGGGAGTCGCGTTTGCTGCGGCGCGCACCCCATTCACCGGGCCCCTTGTCAGCGCCAGGGGGGAGCGGAGGCCCCGACGGTGAAGGTGGCTGACCAGCAGAGCCAGGTGGGCTCGCTCACCGCCCCATTGGACGCCCGGGGGAAACACAGAAGGCGGGATGGAATCGCCGTAAACGGTGGCGAGGAATTACTGACAGCTCGCTGCGGGCCAAGCCCCGGGGTCAGCAGGTACACCCATGCCCTTCCTGGGCCCGCGGAGAGAAGAAGACGCGTTCTCCGCCGCCCAGGCCCTCCAGCGCTCATCCACCGAGGGAGAGGCCGAGCGGCCGCGGCACCATGATGCGCGCGATCGCATTGTCCGCCCTCCCGCGCATGAAGTCAGGATGGATGCGCTTGCCTGCCTCTAGAGTAGCAATGTGCCGACCTGCCCAGTCGGTGGATTGACGCTGGGGAGTCCGTCCAGGAACCTGGTGGGAGGCCGCGCCGGCGACGTTGACCGTCCCACCGAGGCGTCGCCACCTGTCCTCCGCGCTAAGGCTGAACGGCCAAGCCTGGGTCGCGCGCGGACGCAGGGGCTGCGGTAGTCGGCGCGGCGGCGCCCCGGCGATGCCCTACCCCGATGGCCAGGTGAAGGTGGTGGGGTGGAGGAAGCCCACTGGTCCGAGGAGCTGCGGCTGTTCCGGCGCCCGCGCGAGGACGCCGCGCGGCTGTCGGGGGAATGGCTGGTGGACGCGCGCGAGGTTGAACTGCGCTTGGGTGGTCTACCAGCGTTGCCCAAGCTGTCGGCGCCTGCGCCGCGGGGCCGCCGGCAGGCTGAACTGCGATTCCGGCAACGGTGTCGCTGCGAGGCTGGCGGGCAGAAGCGCCCGCGGCCCGCGCCTCCTGCAGGGCAGTGTCCAATGGCGCAGGGTCGCGGGCCCAGATACCCAGCGGGTCTGGTCGCTGATCGTCATTGGGCGGTGGAGGCTGACTGTCCTGCGGGCGCAACTGCGGGGCGTCCGCCGGCGCGGGGAGAGTTGACTTCCTGTCCCTCGCGGGCGCGGCCCTGCGGAAGAGGTCGGGCCCGCCCCTCTCAAGGGCGGCCTTGACATGGCTCGGCCGGGCGCCCCACAGGCGCACGGGGCAATCGCCACAGAACCACGTAGCGTTCCACTGCAAGTTGCAAACGCCTGCGTTCGTGCTTGGAAGAGAGGCAGCCCGCGGAGCAGCTCGAGCTGAAATTCCTTCCCAGGGCGAAGATGAAAATGCCCAGCGGCGCGACACCGCATGGCCACTGCTTCAAGGGGGCGTCGTCAGAGCATCGATCGCATTGGCACTTCCACAGGCCCCAGCTGAGATGCTTGCCGAACCTGTCGTCGACGGCACGGAACACTAGGATAGCGGTGAGACTGTGGGCAGGGTCGTGGGTGCCCTCGGGGGTCAGCAGGAGATCCGCCAGTGGGGCGTTGTCCTGAGCAGGCACAGCGGGGGGCCCTCCAGGCAGGGGGCCTGGGGTGCAGCGCAGGACTGCGGGCTTGGCGTCAAGGGCGTCAAGGTGCGCTGTCATCCTGCCGTCGGTCGGCGTCGGTAGCCCTCTGGCGGACAGGTTTGTGCGCCAGCATCCGCAGCAATGCCATAGTAGTAGTAGTAGTAGTAGTAGTAGTAGTAGTAGTAGTAGTAGTAGTAGTAGTAGTAGTAGTAGTAGTAGTAGTAGTAGTAGTAGTAGTAGTAGTAGTAGTAGTAGTAGTAGTAGTAGTAGTAGTAGTAGTAGTAGTAGTAGTAGTAGTAGTAGTAGTAGTAGTAGTAGTAGTAGTAGTAGTAGTAGTAGTAGTAGTAGTAGTAGTAGTAGTAGTAGTAGTAGTAGTAGTAGTAGTAGTAGTAGTAGTAGTAGTAGTAGTAGTAGTAGTAGTAGTAGTAGTAGTAGTAGTAGTAGTAGTAGTAGTAGTAGTAGTAGTAGTAGTAGTAGTAGTAGTAGTAGTAGTAGTAGTAGTAGTAGTAGTAGTAGTAGTAGTAGTAGTAGTAGTAGTAGTAGTAGTAGTAGTAGTAGTAGTAGTAGTAGTAGTAGTAGTAGTGTAGTAGTAGTAGTAGTAGTAGTAGTAGTAGTAGTAGTAGTAGTAGTAGTAGTAGTAGTAGTAGTAGTAGTAGTAGTAGTAGTAGTAGTAGTAGTAGTAGTAGTAGTAGTAGTAGTAGTAGTAGTAGTAGTAGTAGTAGTAGTAGTAGTAGTAGTAGTAGTAGTAGTAGTAGTAGTAGTAGTAGTAGTAGTAGTAGTAGTAGTAGTAGTAGTAGTAGTAGTAGTAGTAGTAGTAGTAGTAGTAGTAGTAGTAGTAGTAGTAGTAGTAGTAGTAGTAGTAGTAGTCGTCGTAATAATAGTAGTAGTGGTAATAGTATTGAAGTCGGCTTGCGGCAACCGTCTTTCTGATTGCAAGATCCACCCAGGCACCTCCGATCTCCTTTGGGGGGGGGGAATGTGTGTTTCCCGCATTGGTCGCAACATATGCGGGGGGTCCGCCGGTTCGGCTGGAAGCGATCATCCCCCTGGCCGATACTGGGGGGGGGGAGCACAGCTCTGGGCGGCACGCCAGTCGGGGGAGCAGCAAACAGATCCTTTCCCGCCCCCGACAGCCCTCCTCCGAGGTACTGCGGGGTGGTGGACTGGTGGCTGTCGGGAAAGAGGCCCACGCTGGACCCGAGAGGGGCCTGCGAGAGAGCGCAGACGGCGCAGCTGTGGGTCCGCAGGCAAGAGAGGTCTGCGGGGGCGACGACTGTCTAGGGCTTGGAAAGTGGGCTTTAGAGGGAAGTGCCCGAGGGAACCGTCCTCCCACGGCGCACCGGCCTGCTCCCCGTCGACGCCCGGATGGCGGTGCGCCACGGTGACTAGCCTGGAGCATGTCTTGATGAAGGCCTCTAAGCGGCCGTGGAGCCTGCGGAAGTCGGCATCTGCCAAATTGCGGGCCCTCCCAAAAGCTATCTCGCACCGGAAGGCGCGCGTAGTTGTGCCCAGGGTGGCCTCGAGGATGTCGCCGATGCAGCCAGGGCTTCCGTGAGGCGCAAGGTTGGGCCTGGGCGCCCTGATAAGGAGGAGCATCAGAACCAGGGTGGTGTTTGCTGTTGCGCGCTGGATGAGAGCCCCACTGCTATCCTTGAGCAAGCTGGAAAGGCCTTCGAGGGGCCAATCCTGTTGGCCAGTGAGAGCCGCGAGGTGCTGTAGCGAAGGTGCGCCCTGGTGGCGCGTGCACGTGCATGTGTTCGCGCTCCAGGCTGCTGGGGGGCTTCTGGCCGTGCCATTGGGGGGTTGGTCGACGCGCCAGCTCAAGCGAGATTCGCATCTCCCTCCAGATGGAGGGGGGGAGGCGGTCTCCTTCTGCGCACACACAGACACACATGTTTTTACGTCGGCGGCTAGACAGAAGGACTGCTCTGGCGAAGTGACAGTAGTGGGACGCACAAAATGCGAATTAAGCCGCGATGCACCCACACACACACACACACACACACACACACACACGCGCACACACACACACACACACACACACACACACACACACACACGCACACACACGCACACGCACACGCACACGCACGTCGGTCGGTCGGAAGAAGTGGGTAGAAACATGAAGTAGAAAGACGTTGGAAGTATCTTTGGCTTCCGTCCGCCCCTGAAGAGGAGGGAAGAGGAAAAAAACTCGATCCTTGAAGTAGGAAGGCGCCTAAAAGAAATTGGGATCTGGGAATCAAGAAATCCCTACTTCCAACGACCAGCGTGTACACAAATTGCCTTTCGCCCACGGCGGCAGGGCGGCCTGACGTAGCGACCAACAAGGTCCGCAGGCGCGGCCACGCACTCGCAGAGACGAGGGCGCCCACGCGCGACCTTACAAAGGGGCAGCCTGAGTGCGAGCGTCCGCGGAATCGATCCGCCTGCTCTACGTCGCTCACCCGTCCGCCACGCCGAGGGGGGCATGCCCCATCCCCCGCTCCGTCGCTCTCCACATCCACCACCCTCCCTTCTCTCGAAGGATGCCACGGGGCGGTTCTGGCCCAAGGAGCACCCGGCTTTCTCACACCATCCTGGGACCCCTCGGGCCCTCCGAGCCTCGCGAGGGGTCCTCTCGAGGCCATCTGGGCTACGAAAACGGCGCCCGTGCACCGTCCCATGTTTAGACTCCCTTCATGCCCCGCTCCTGCGCGGTACGGTGCACAGTTGTTTCGGCTCTGCGGGCCGAAAAGACCATGCACCGCACCACTCCTGGATCGAGGATCGACGACGCGGCTCGGGAGACGCAAACGCGGCACGGTGCACACAAGTCGTCCGCGGAATCCAGGCCTCGCTGGACAAGCCGGGGCATCCCTGGGCCAGGGAATCCTCTGGAAACGCCCGGCTCTGCCCAGAGAGTCGGGTGCGAGGCAGCGCGCTCTCAAGTCGATCCACTCTGGGGCGCATGGTCATGAGGCCATCAGGGCTGCGACTCCCGTGCTTGCGAGTGTGCTCTTCCCGCTTTGACCCACATGCCCCTCCTCCCGTTTCCCCAGGCAGCGGGAACGTCCAGTGAGAAAGCGATGGAGAAACCTGGACCAGGTTTCTGGCAAGCTCTTCAGCCAAGGCTGAGCCAGTCGTGTGCACACGGGTGTTGAAGAAGCCTGCCTCCTGTCTTGTTCCGCGCAATGCTTTGGGAGAAAAAGGGAGGGAACGCTGAGAGGAAACAGCACAAGACTCCGACGACTGCCATCCGTCGAATGCTGCAAATTGCCGCCGAATCCTGAATACCGCAAGACTCCGCCCCTGTCGCACCCCGAGGCCAGTCAGAAGGGCGGGTTGGACGTTTCGCCTGAGACTTCCTGAGAAGCTTCTAGCTAAACAGCAGCCTCGCCGAACTGTTTCGCCTAACAGTTTCAAAGATGGAGGGCGGGTCGCTTCCAACATGTGGCTCTCGCCATGGCGCCGCGCACATCTGTGATTAAAAAGTTGCGAGAGCATCACGGGATGAGAACGGCTCGTTTTCAATATGTGGCTCTCACCATAACGCCGCGCACATTCGTTTCATACGTTTGCAAGAGCTTCACGGATCAAGGGTGGTTCCTTTCTTTGATGTAGGTCTCCCGCGCGGCGCATATTCGATTCAAAAGTGCACAAGAGTGTCACTGGTTCCTGGAGGCCACAGTCGCCCGAGACGTCCTCGGAGAACTACCCGAGGCCCCAGACCGTGCAGTGACCCTGGAGACCCCCACCGACTCACCGCGCGGTGCGGCCACCACACCCCTCTGGAGGCCCCCGATTGGTTGGCGCCCCCTCGGGTGGTGAGCTCCCGTGGGGAAACCAAAAGGTACCAATACCGCAACTCCCCGAGGCCCAAAACCGAGGAAAACGAGGGAAGGGTAGCAGTATGGGTATATTTTCCTCTTCTGAGTTCCCGCGGCACCAGCCCCCAGGCTGGGCCGCCCCCGCGCCCAGGGCCGCGGCCTCTTATGAACGAACAAAACCAACCCACACCCATGGGGGGGGTCAGATGGGGTTATGGGTGCGTCTTGTCAGATGGGGGTCCCCGCTCGAACGGAAGCGCCCCCCGGATCCTGACAACCCGCACCCATACCCAGAGCCAGTCCCCTCCCAGTGACCCCCCTTTGGGTATGGGTCTGTGTATGTTGTTCGTTCGTCAGCCTCGTCGAGCCCGCCGAGGTCGCGCAGCAGCTGCTCCACGGCCTGGCTCAGCAGCAGCTGCCGCGGCCCAGCCCCAGGCGGCGCCCAAAGGCCGTCCCCCGCCATCACGGCTTACGGACGCACGATGGCATGGGGCAACCGCGTGGCGAGCCCAGAAAGAAAACGCTGACGACAGCAGTGGAGATCCTCACGAGCGGCGAACGTGGGGGCAACGAAGTCGATACACATCCACTGCTCCCTGGCCAGGACCAGCCTGAACCCAGCAGCGGTGTATACGCCATGCCCTCCTGGCTTGGGCAGGAGGACGTATACACAGCTCCTGGGCCCAGGAGGGGCCCGGCCAGGGGGCAGCGGATATGCATAGATTTCGTCGCCCGAAGCGCGTCCAGATCCACGCCCCCGCGGTCTGGATTCCAGAGCGCGATGCCGCGGATAGGCGGTCGCACGGATACGCTCCGCGCGGGGCATCCGCGAACGAAAGCACACCGTCTCCACGGGGTCGCGGCCCAGGGGCCCGGCCTGCAAGGCAGACGG